AAGTGTGCCTGAGTATACATTGCGATTATTAGTCATAGTTTTATGGTTATAACAATATGAAATTGAGTAAACACGATGAATTGAGGTGGATAGAAAGTTTAGGTAGCCCAGTGGTTAAAACAAGCCGATGTATTTATGAAAAATCCTATCATTCATCATCCTTTATTACAAGACATCAGCGTAACAAAGCATTGGTTTGTAGGGATTTGGTTGATTGGTTAGAGGATTTCATCATGAGCTGACATTGGTTAGAGAACTATTGGAAAACCAAGCTGGAGTACTGGACAGCTGTTTCGTCCGACTAGTTTGGGACTCTTCATCGGCACACACCCACAGCCGGGGTTCGAACCCAGGACCTTCTGGTTACAAGGCGAGCTCGTATACCATTAAGCCACTGGGACCTGATCCAGTGACCCGTGAACTCTAACTTCTGCGAATTCACGATATAGCACAACCGCTAGCCAATCTTTTCGGCGAGTATTTGTCCTCAAACCCGACCTGCAGCACCCTACTGGTGTTTTCCTTGTGAAGATATTTAAGCGAGTTGTGCTTGTTTACATAATAGCTAGCGAGAGAATGAACACTGAATTTGCCAATTTCCTCTTCTATTTTAGAAGTCATCAGCGGGATGTACCTACATCGCCTAATGAGCAGTGATAGTATTCCCACTGAGACTCAAACTCTAGCCTGTATTGTATTTCATACTAGCTGTGCGATTTTTAACTCTTATTCGTTATCTATAAATAAGTCAGTTGAATTTATCATGTATATTGTGGAATACATGCAGCTTTTTTTGGTGTATGATTAGATACATTTGCTCAATTTAGACTTCTATTACCACTACTACTACTATTCACTAGCTTGCTTTCATTAAATTGGAAGCGTAAAAATCTCTTGCTGGTAATCAGAACATGTACAGATCTCTTTTTTACTTCATTTAAAAAAATTATTTTTAGTAAACACACTATGTGAATGCTTTACTATTTCTATAAATACCCGCCACATCACTTCAGTTAATGCACGTGAATGACTAAGTGTAATGTTAACTTCAAGTGTGCACATGATTAGCGAAAAGTTATTTATGTTGTTACATGTGTAAGAAGAGAATGATTTCATGTTAAAGAGGTGGTTGCTTGTGTGTTTTCCTGTCTCGCTATTTCTATCTATCTATCTATCTGTCTCTCTCTCTCCCTCGTCATATTCACACTTGTAGATGATACACATCAGTAGTATCTATCTAATAAAAAAAGTTGTTACATCGAATTATCTACCCTAGAGAAAGAATAAGAACAGAATTTGTTTGTTTAAAAAAAAGAGTGTTATTTGGACCTATTAGATAACGCAAAGATCTAGTTAACTTGTTCATGTGATACATTGGAGATTACGTAAAAACCAACTCAAAGACTTTAAAAAAAATTAATCTATTTAAGTCTTTGTGTGACATATGTGATTTTCAATATATCCTTTTTTTACCTAAAAGTGACACACACCCACACACACGTTGAACGGACAAGAAAATTCCAGAAAATTTGGATTACATGGATGATTCATGTCTAGTGTCACAAGAAATCGAAGATCAGCAGGCGAAAATCAACAAGTTGATAAAGGAGACTAGTAACTAAAACAGGACTTCAAGTGAACACAGAGAAGGCCCCGGGTGATGAAGATACCCAACAGCCAACAACATTAAGTATAACTCAGTGTCAACGGTAGAAATCTGAAGGAAGTTGCCCCTTTCCCTTCTTTGTCTCTGCAGTATTGTTTCAACTACAGACAGTCAACACGTATGAGGATGTCAAAGCCAGTCAGGATCAGGAAGGCAAAAGAGACCTTGAAATTAGTGTGGAAATCTACCTCACTCAATATACGAAATAAAATTCGGATTTTCGACACTAATGTCAAGTCAGTCAGTGCTCCTATATAATTCGGAGACTTGACTCTTGTATCACTGAAAGCATTTATAGCAGGCTGCTAAGTTTCAACAACAGCTTTCTTCACTGGTTCGATATTCCGGATGAGATAGACAGAGAGGATAGACTACAATGAACTGTGACAACGAAACAACCAAGAACCTATTTATTAATAAACAGTGGAAAGGAAATAGAGATGGGTTGGACACATGCTGAAGAGACCGTTGAGTGACATAGCTGGTCAGTCCATCGAGTGGAAAACGATTGAAAATTGACGAGTCAGGCATCAGCAAGAAGATGATATGGTCGAGAAGAAGATGAAAACTTACGGGCAGCCAATAAGCCAGCTAAATAGGACTGCAGAAAACAGAATGAAATGGAGATGTGCTTCTGAAAACAGGTGCTCTAGCCGGAACCCAATGTAATAACAAGAATAACTATGTAGAAAAAAAGACTGACTAGTGAATGAAAGAAGATTCTTTCCCATAAATTCTTCACTGGCCTCTACAGTTATACATCTATAATAGTTTAGGAATAATCTTAATTAGATCTTAAATCACACTGAGCAACTGATATCAGTAGACTACGGCTGAAAACATGTGTATGCGACAATACGTATAAATTGAATATGAGTTAAATTAGGAAAAGATAGTGTAGAATTCACGAATTTATAGATATCACAGTATACCTGGGTAGAAATAATGGCTTGACCTGTACACAGGGTCCCGTTGTTCAAAGGGAATTACAGTGGCCTCTGCTGTTTGAAGTATTTGGTATCTGAAGGCATTTGACAATTCATTCGGCCCTCAATGGTTGACAGAAAAAGATTCTTAAGCTATGGCTTCATGATTTGATCATACGACATGATCTAATACTAAACGATTTATGGTTTTTACTACACATTTATGGAGCCACATTGATATGTGGTATCCAGAATAGACAAGGCTGCCTACTATCGCCAATGATTTTCTTGATTGCAGTAGACTGGATAATGCGACAAAGAGCGGGCAGTGAGGAAACGGGCATAAAATGGACTCACACAAAGAACTTGGAGGATCTGGACTTCGCCGATGATATATGTCTGATTTCCCACAAACTGGAAGATATGCAAGCGAAAAGCTACAAGTTGGCAGAAGAAGCATCCAGAGAACATAGGACTTCAGGTGAACATAGATAAAACAGAGGTGATGAAGATTCCTGGGAAACAACAACAGACAACAATCGGCATAAGCGGAAGGAACCTGAAAGAAACAACCTCTTTTGCCTACCTGGGAAGCATCGTTTCAACTACAGGCCTACGGAACTGACGAGGATATCAATGCAAGAATCGGAAAAGCAAGACAAGCTTTCACTACTCTCAAGTCTGTGTGGAGGTCAACAACACTCAGCATCAAAAATAAGATCCGGATTTTCAACTCCAACGTGAAGTCAGTGCTACTATACGGATCAGAGACTTGCACTGCGCGTCATAAAGAGCATCTCAAACAAACTACGGACCTTCATTAACAGTTGTCTTCGCTCAATAGTCAAGATCAGATGGCCAGAAAAGATCAGCAACAGGCAGGGATCTCTGGGAGCGAACCAACCAGGAACCGATTGTGAAACAAGTATGCAGGAATAAATGGAAATAGATTGGCCATACTCTGAGGAAACAATCCATCAAGTGACATCACTAGACAAGCCATTGCTCGAGTGGAACCCGGCCGAACGGGAAGCGGCGAGTTGGTCGGTGGTGCGAGGGTGACTTGGAGGAGGTCATGTGAAGAGGAGATGAAAGCGTGTGGGCAGACTTGGAGCCAGGTGAAGACTCTAGCAGAGAACCGAACGCGATGGAGACTCATGGCTGAAGCCCTATGTTCCTGTAGGAATTAAAGGATACAATAATAATAATAATCCAGAATAGAAAATTAGGTTTTTGGAGCAAAAGCCAATAAGACTGGCTCCACAAGGTCGTTTGAATTGCTAGATACAAGAAGAAGTGGTTACCTAGGTACTTTGTCTTTCAGTTTCGGAATCACGATCGGTTGTATAGAAAATATGAGCTGCAGCTTATAGGCATTAAAAGTTATTGAAAAGGATTTTCTGAACCTGTCGGTTATATATATATATATATCATATAAAGTTTTTGAAACGATAAATAAATGCACTCTGTAAGAGTGTTCACATTTTCTCTACGATATTATTTAGAAAGAGATCAATTAAAAAGATGAATCATAGTGAGTCCCACTGAAAGAAGAAAAGAATCTCTAGAACCATTCACTGACTCATGCATTGTAATTACTTACTAATTATTTTCTGACTGTAATCTATATCGAAACGAATCAACTTAAAACGAAATAAGAATCTTCCGCCCTTTCTTTAGTTTATAAGTATTTCATATTTGATATTTTTCCACTTGCCCATAAGCTTGATTACTAGGTCAAATTTATACGTACAGATGATGCTAATTGTTAGTAAATGCCATTTGAAGTGCGATTGATTGACTGATCGCTAAAATGTTGTCTATTCAGCAAAGTGAGCGGAATTTGGAAACAGAATAGGGCTATTTATAGTGAGATTCGGTTTAAAGATGCAAAGATATTTTGATTGAACATTAGGTAGTAACTAATGTCACACATCTAGAGTCCATCATTTGGTGCAGACTAGGTGGCTTGGATTCAAATCTCACAAATGATAAGAGTTCTCTCAAGATTGCAGATATGCCTTGCTGACGAGTGCTAGCAAGCACGAAACCTAGGCACAAGGCTTCCTGCCAGTTGCTTTCAACCACCCAACAATAATTTAGAATGCAAAGATATACTAACTTCACCAGTTATCATTCCAGTAAAACATCTTACGTCCTGAATAAGTAGACAGATCTAGAGTCTCCTTAATGATCATTATTTTGCGTAAAGTTGTATTTCAGGATTTTGTTATTGCATATTTTTGACGAAGATGTAATTTCGGGAGTAGATTTGGAACTCATTTGGTATCAGATGAATTACTGTATTAAAGTAATCCATATTCCACATGCCAATTATGTTTGGAAGAAATAGAAAAAAACGATCATAAGCAAATAAATAAGTCAAAGTTTCACATATAAATACTGACCTTCAGATGTACCACTGAAAGCAACATGACCACTTCCTTTCGTTTGATTCTTACGATCATTTGTAGGATCATTGAAATTTGTATGTTTTCCACGTTGTTGTTTGCCATCTGAGTCATTGTTTTGCCGTGAAAGATTAGTATGGCCTTCAATCTGTGTCATTTCATTTGCATCGATTAAATCAGCTGGAGGTGGTGGAGGCGATGTTGATCCATCGCCTTCAGTTGCACCCAACAGAGTGAATATGATACCTGCTTGAGAATTAACGCCAACGGCTGTGACCACCATTTTTCCAGAACCTTCCATAACATGTGTACCTGTGGGAAGATACAAAACATTGTATTATTTATTTATTATTATGCAAATAAGCTTAAAGGAAGCGTAGAATTAAAACAAGGATCTATTTTCAAGAACTATAAAAGTGTTTATAACACATGTATTTAGCTTTGATATGTATTATGAATTTAGAAAGTATCAATACTATGTAAGCAAATCTATTTGAGAAGTGTGAAATAAAATACACAATATTATCTGATTGGTTATCTTCTATGCGCTTAAAGCCTATAGTTTAAGCATTTTGTAAGTAGTACATCTATTATGACACAGAAATTTCAGAACTCTGTATTTTTTATGAAGGTGCTAGATAAACAAATGTTAGAATGTCTAAAGAAATTCTCACTATCTCTATGTAAGATGACAAAAGGGATAATGCAAAGCCTTAAGCAGGTAAAAAGGAATTCGAATTAGACAGATAGTTACGCAAACGTAGAATTCAGCACAGAAGTAAATCAGTTTATATTGTTACACTTTATAAAACACACACACACAAAAAAGAGAAGAAATGAGAAAGCCTGAATGCAGTAGACAGCGAATAACTTATTAAAAGTTAATGAAAGTCTTTACACCTTTCAGAACAATAAATAATTCTCATATCTGTGCCCAAAATGAGTAGATTTGAGCAATTTTAACGCCAGTTTGCAGCATTTAGTATTTCAAGCATCCAGATTAAAATAAAATAACTTCCTTGATTGGTATCATGTTTTAGTTTCACAGCTACTACCAACTCTGTTCCAGCAGATGTCATGATGACTACTTTCGAGGTCAAAAAGTAGTCATATGACTCACCAGGTTAATCTACCTGAGATAATTAATGAGACGAAGATGGATCTAAGGTCCTTTACTTTCAAATGTCATTATCTAATAATTATGAGAAAAAAGGTGCCAAGAAACGCTATTCATCAAACATCATTTCGACGACTACTCACATATGTCACAGTCACTAAAACTGATATAAATTAGAAAATACAGAATAAACCTTTTGTATTTGTACAGAGATTTTCTGAGAACACATGTTTAAAAAATATATATATATATAAAGGCTCACGTTAGAAGCATTGCTTACAACACATTAATACAAAACACACAGTGTTTCAAAGCTTAATTAGTAAGACACATTACCAGCTAAACAAACATTATTGACTTCAATAAGGATGAATGTTTAAGGATTGATGGCTGTTTTTTTTCTATGTGCAAAAAATCAGTCAATTAGTTAAAATGTTTGTTAAAAAACAACTAAAATTAAAATAATAATAATAATAATGTACATTCTGATCATATTTGTGATTTAACAGCTGTGCGAAATAATAATTGACAGGTGTTTTCTAAACAAACTTTGGTGCCTTTTTGCTTTAATCCAGTTTATATATTGAACTTGTGGCATATATAAAGATATATATATAAACCTGACTGATAGAATTCAGTCTGCGCTAAACAAGGGACTAGACGCATTACACTAGTTACTAGTGTCCAATCAAATACAGTCCTGCAGGAGGTCAGTCGCGAGCCCGAATAGCTCAGTGGTAACCTCTCTGACTGTAGCATTGGGTGACATGGGTTCGAATCTCAGAAGGGATAAGAATTCCTTCAAGGTTGCAGATACGCCTTGCTGACTGGTGAGTGCCAAGGGCTTCCTGCCGATTGCCTCCAACCATCTAGCATCAACAATTCCAAGTGCACTGTGATGGCGAGCCACCTAGAATGCTGGCCTGATTGCAAACTTGACTGATAGAGTTCAGTCTGCACCAAACAGAGGACTAGATACATCACACTAGTTACTAGTGTCCAATGAATATATATATATATATAATGATCTGTTGCGTCACTCTATCAACACCATTAACATACTACTGGTAAGTATGAGTAGTGTGTGATGAATACTGACAGAATCAACTGCATTTCTTCCGATGGTTGGTCATGTGAATACACTTAATAAAATTATGTCTAACTAAGCCTACTTGAGTCACTATTCGCTGACAACGATGTTTTTGGTAGATAAGATACATTTAAACATCGTACCTTTATTTTGTTTTGTTTTCGGCAATAAATTCATGGAGAGAATGGCAGAAACCGAGGGAGACAAAGATGATATGCTTATTGCCTGAATGACATATATATATCTACATATATTTGTAGCTAAACTACCTTGTTAGTCTGCTTAGACTATATAAGGTTTAATCAGTAACTATGGCTATTTATTTGTGTCTATCTAATCATCTATAGAAGAATACAAAGAACAAAACAGAAAAGCGAAATTGTTTTAAAACTGATTTCACTCTCTTTTTCTTAACAAAAATAGAAAACAATTTTTCAACTACTTTCTGTAGTACTTGAGATTATTCCAACGAGAAGTATGAGATTGTAATGGGAGGAAAACTACTACGAAGAGACTGAGAGAGAGAGAATATTGATTAATTTTGGTTTGAGTATTGCATACTTTTCCATTCACTTGTCATTCTATAGTTACACGATATAGGCAAACGATGTTATGAGCTACGGGCTATGATAACTATTTTATAAAATGTAATCAAAAAGAATATTAACAACTGCATATTTTGGGATATGTTATTACCCTGAGTTCATTTTGATTGACTTCACATTATTATTCCCTTTGATTCAAACTGGAACATGGAGCTTCAATAACACATCTCTATTTCACCCTCTTCTCTACAGTCGCCTTTAGCTGGCATTACGATTTCCTATGGGCTCTTATCTCCTCGTCATGTGACCTCTTCCACGTTATCCTCGAACGCCCAACTTGTCGTTTCTCATCAACGTTCCACTCGAGAGCTCGCACTGTGGTTGATGCCATTCACTGATCTCCTTAGCGTGTGTTCAATCCATCTCCACTTCCTTCTACATATTCGTTAGGCGAAAGGTACCTGGTTGGTTTATTGTCAGAGTTCCCTGCTGCTGATCCTTTCCAGCCGGCCATTTAATTCGCACTAACGAGTCGGAAAAGACAGTTATTGATGAACCTCTGCAGTCCGTTACACATGCTTGTCCTGACGTGTCAAGTCTCTCAAACATTTAAAAGAATTGACTTGACACAAGTGTCAAAAATCCGATTTCCCTTTCCTTATTTTTAGTCCAGCAGATTCTTAGACTTATTTCAGGTTGTTGAAGGCCTGTTTTGCATTTCCTATTCTAGTTTTGACATTCTCATCCGTTCCGACTGTCTGTGATTGAAGCGGTGCTGCCTAGAAAAGTAAAAGGGGTAACTTCCTTCAGGCTTCGCCTGCTGATAGTGACTGGTGCCTGTCATTGTTTCTGGTTATGTATCTTCGTCCCTTTGTGTCTTCTTTAAGTTCACTTAGAGAGTCCTGTCTTCAATGCGGGTCTCTTGTGCCAAATTACTGGTCTTCACATAAGTAGTATAAGCAGGAATGTTTATGTTTTTTTGTTTTATGAAAACAAAAGCATAAAATGTGTTTATTTGTAGGCATTATTCATGCGATAAAAAGAATGGAAATGTAGTCAGTCATTCAGAATGAGATAGGCTTTCTTAGCTTCTGCATGAAAACTTTCCCTCAATTTATTTAAAAATATTACAGGATGAAACTATCAGTTTTTATGGAATTATTTTATTGGAAAAATGTTCTATAATTAGTCGTCAAACTGATGGTAGGTAACTTCAGTTTGGACAGGCAGATAATTCGTTTCTTATTTAATAATAATAATTTTCATTTTGCTAAATTTCAAATACATATACGTCTACTTGATTATTACGCAATTTAATCTTTGGTGTGAACGAATCAACGAACCTATCACTAAACAAATATGCAAAAGGAAGTAGAAATCTATTGGACACACATGGAGAAGATCATTAAGTGATATCACGCTCAGTGCAAGCCCTCGAGTGGAACTTGGATGGGAAAAAACAAATTGGGTGTTACTCCGAAGTTGACATGTAAGAGATTGTATGAGGAGAAATTGAAATCTTATGGACAAATTCTTGGGGCCAGCTTTAGAAGATTGTGAAGAACAGGGAGAAGTGGAGAAGTCCCACTGAAGCCCTTTGTTGCGTTCTGAACTCAACGCAATAATATTATAGCAATAAAAGGCTAAACCTGAACTTCAAAGCGCTGTAATCTAGAACAAAAACGAGTGCAACACTAATGATTTCTTCAGGAATATTTAACGACTACAGTCATTCGTGCTTTTATCTTGAGAAAACCTATGAAAGGAAGTTATTTCATCTCACTTTTTTCAGATCATAGTTCAGCGAAAAGAAATGCTTGGTATTTTGTGCTTCAATAATAAAGTAGTAAGCGTATTCATAAGACGGAAGCCCATAATGGGGTAAGGCGGCCTGTTTAAAACTTGAGCTGCTGAAAACCTCAATCAATATACTGCATATAGTTTCTCTTATTCACAGTTTGTTTAAATCTAGTAAAATATGACCTTTGATAAGGTTGTTTACTCTGGTGTATGTTTAAAACATTTACAACTTGTGGTTTCTCAAGTTCCTAATAAACATGAGAAAAAGCACTATCCTCGATGGCAGTTTATCTCAGTACATGAGATGACCGTTCTTCAGTCATGGTACACAAAATGTACTCATGAACCTTTTATAATTGGTATTCAACAAAATATATTCTTTTCCTCGAAGGAGAAGGAGATATCATAATAGATTGGTTTGCGCTTCAAGTCAGATAGAACTGTTTCACGCGATCTACTGCCAGTTAATATTTTAGTCGGAGATACTGGACGACGAGAAAATATCATGCAATAAACTCTGCTGAAAATTCTGTACATTTATTTAGACACTGTTTCAGAATAAAGCTATTACTACTATTATTATAACATAGCTTAAATGCTAGACATCAGCTGCTTTGAAAAACTACCTCTTAACCACTAACAAAATCTAAAGGAAAAGTTACAGTTATTGGTGACCTGACAGATTTAATCTGATAATGGTGTTGAATACTGTGAAATAATCCTCACAAAAACATGTAAATCAAATTTAAGTCATCCCCAC